TGTGGTGGTTAAGGTGCTAGACACTCCCATATGGCTGACCATGGTTTGAGTCCCGGACCTGGCAGCTTGCTTTCTCAATCTTTCTCTCTCTTTCTCTGGTCAAATTTAAATAAATGAATGAATAAATAAAATAAATAATTATATTTAAATTTTTTTAAAAAAGCTAATCTGTGGTCTATTAAAAAAAATTACGTCTTTGGGAACCAGCAGTTAGCGTAATGGCTATGTTGCTGGACTCCCACGTAGTCAACCGCAGTTCGTGTCCCAGACCCGGTGGCTTAAAACTCACGCCGGGCGCATGTGCGTGCGTGCCCAAGATCCCGGGAGGAGAATGGAGGAGAAGGGATTGCGGCGTGACCATCCCCCCTGGGGGGTGATTTCTCGCTTTCTGTCTCTATGTCTCTCTCTGTCTGTCTGGCGAGCGCACACGCCCTACAGTGAAAATCTCTCAAAAAAAAAAAAATTACCTCTTTTAAAAGGGGAGGGGGTGCCAGCGTAGTGGTTGAGATACTAGACTTCCCACATGACCAACTGCAGTTCAAATCCCGGACCTGACAGCTTGCTTTCTCACTCTCCCTCCCCCTCTCTGGCAAAATCATGTGAAATAATAAATATATACCATACATATATGCACACATAAATAATTCTTTTTTTTTCTTTTTTTGGAGAGGTTTTGGCTATAGGGCGTGTGCGCTCTCCAAACAGACAGAGAGAGACAGAGAGACAGAAAGCAAGAAATCACCCCCCAGGGGGGATGGCCACGCTGCAATCCCTTCTTCTCTGTTCTCCTCTCAGGATCTTGGGCACGCACACACACGCACCCGGCGTGAGTTTTAAGCCACCAGGTCCGGGACGCAAACCGCGGTTGACTACATGGGACTCCAGCGACATAGCCATTACGCTAACTGCTGGTCCCACACATAAATAATTTTTCGAAAAGAAATAAATAAATAATAACCATTAGGTGTTAGAAAGTCTTGCCTCGGTTACCTCCCTCCCCCAAATTAGCCCCACTGCATTAGATCTCTAAAGATTTTCAGGTAAAAGTCTAAGAAGAAACTTTTCTTGGGGCTACAGGCGGCTTTGGGAAGTGGCAGAGGTGAGGCCTTTCCGTGCCATCAGCTCATCCTCAGTCCCAGTAGGAACACGCAGCCTGCCAGTACCAAAGGTCAGTCTTCAACACACAGCATAAACAAGCTGTTCTGCGTCCACCGGACAAGGCCACGAGGTCTGCATGAGTCACACTTCTACACCGATAGTAGCTTTATCCTTCTCAGATCTGCTCACAAACATCTACCACAAACGCGGCCCGAGACCATGCACCTGTGTGGCCTCCGGAGCACACTGCCATGGTGGTAGCAGCACCTTGGAGACGGAAGCAAGGCTTCACAACAGTCCACTGGACAGGCCAGTAAGCAGACACTACGCGACTGCAGTCTGAGACTTGTAGTGGCTGCATTTTTAAGCAAGTTACTTGGTTTAGGCAAATATAGTTATGACACAGCTGTTAGTTTCAGTACTTCTTGAATACTTAATGGTACAATAAAAATTCTTCAATGACTGAGGTATTCAATGTGGGTATGCCCATTCTACGCAACGGTTCCTACCATTTCCTTCCTGAACGTACTTGCCAGAGGGAATGCCCTCATCGGAGAGCGGGGAGAGGGAGAAGGCACCGGCCCAGTGCAGCATGGCCGCGGCAACCCCTCTCCATCTCTCCAGCCTGCGAGCATCTGGGGGCACTCAGCACATGGCCCGGTTTTCAAGGTACCAGGGCCAGTATTCAGCCCAAGTTCGTCCATGCGGAATCTGGCCGCCTTAACAGCTAAGCTCCAGGGCGCGCCCAGTTTGTCAGTTGCCGTGTCTCGGCCTTTCACAGTGTGTGCCCCTTGAATAACGGAAGTGCGGGCAGCACAGGTCCGCTTGCACCCAGGTTATTATTATTTTTAACTTGCTATAGTGCACATACGCTTGCTGGAAGGAGAGGGACAGACGGAGAAGGCACCCCTCAGGGAAGTGGCCATACCGCAATCCTCTCTCCTCCATTCTCCTCTCAGAATTCTAGGCACCTACGCACAGGTGCCCGGCACGTTGTTCAAGCCGTGGGGTCTAGGACTCGAACTCTGTCAGCCCGGTGGGATCCGGCCACCTTCACCGTCGTGCCACCGGGCTGGTCTCAGATTTTTTTCAATAGATACTGTAAATGTATCTTCTCTTCCTTATGATTTTAATAAACATTCTCCTTTTCTCTGGCTTACTTTGTTGTAAGAATACTATCTATAACACACACGACATGCGGAATAGCTGCTGCTCGACCGCGCTGTCAGTAAGGCTCTGGTCAGCAGCAGGCTACTAGTAATTAAGGTCGGAGGAGTCGAAAGGTCTGCGGATTTTTTCACTTTGCCATCTATCTTGAGGAGAGAAAAACCCCCGTGCTATGGTAACCTCAAGGCGTGTACCCTGTAACTTACCAGCACAGAGTACCCGAATGGGTTTGCGGCCCAGAGCATGTGGGGTTCGGGAGGCGGCCCACCTGGGTCCTGGTGTAGCTCCACTGAGCGGCTCGGGACAAATCAAGACCCTTGGGCGGGCCTGTCTGAAGGAGACTAGAGGGAGCATCCGGGCTTGTTTGGACGAATTGTTCAGTGACAGGTGAAAAGTTTCGGAGGGGTTGGCTCACTGTGGGCAACTGTCTTTGGACAGGAGACCAGAGCCTGGTATCTCTGTGTGTAACAAACTTCTTTTGCCAGTCAACTTCACACCCTCCCAGCTAAAGATGCTGATAATTAATCATTCTAGTAACGGGCACCAACACAAGGTTAAGAACAGATACAAAACTAGTACTCCTTATAGCTGTCTTACCTGTGAGGTCACACTTCCAATACTCCATGGCTATATTTCACTTCAGGGTAATTCTTTTTAAAGATCTGTTATGGGGTGTGCCCTCACCAGAGAGACACAGAGCCAGAGAGAACGCACTCCTTGGAGGATGGCCACACGGAAATCCCTTCTGCTCCACTCTCCTCCTGGGATTTGGAGCACAGGCACAAGGGCCTGTGTGAGTTTCAAATGGGAGGTCCCGCACTCTAGCCAAGCAGTAGGCCATGTGGGATCTGTCAAGTCACCTTCCTACCAAGCCACCAGCTGGCCCCCCTTTTTAAGAATTATTTAATTTTATTAATTCATTCATTTATTTTAATTTGACCAGAGAGAGACACACAGAGAGAGAGAGAGAAAGTGAGAAAGCAAGCCACCAGGTCCGGGACTCCAACCGTGGTCAGCCATGTGGGAGTCCAGCGCCTTAATCACCATGACCCAGCCGGCCCCTATTTAAGGGAAATTCTGAGTCAGCCAGCTTAGTTCCTGGATTTGGTTATGCAGAACTGGGATCAATCAAGTTTAAAAACAGCTGGAAATAACTGCTAACAAATGTAAGTTGGAAAAGACAAAGGCGGGTTTTTAAAGAAAAATGACTGAATGAGGGTGAGGCAGTGCGAGAAAGGGGCCAGGTGAGGTTCACAGACCCTTCTGGCAGGCAGAGCAGTGGGGAAGGCATTTTGGCTGGGTGGGCAGCCATGCAGTCCATGAGAAATGACGGAAAAGGTTTGAAGGCATTTGCAGCAAATTAATACCCCCCACCCATCCTGCAATTGCTTTCATTTCCTCTTTAGGCTGCAGAAGTCTCCAATTATAGTCACATTATAGTGCCATTTATTTGACATTTACAAAGACCCCTTGTGTACCAGGCATTGTGATAAGCACTTAAACATGCACTTTCTCCACAGTAGGTGGCATGGTTGTTAAGGCGCTGACCTCCCACCTGGCGCCAGGCAGTTCAAGTCCTGGATCTGGTGGCTCACGCCCTTGCGCGCGCGCGCGCGCTCTCTCTCTCTCTCTCTCGCTCGCTCGCTGCTGAGCACATGTGCCCTATAGCAAATTAAAAATAATAACTCTGGGACCCAGCAGGTGGCATGGTGGTTAAGGCTCTGGACACTCCCACATGGCCGACAGGGTTCGAGTCCTGATCCAACGGCTTGCTTTCTCACTTTCTCTCTCACTCTCACCCTCTGTCTCTCTCTGGTCAAATTAAAAAATAATGCATGAATAAATACAAAATAAAATAAATAATTAAAAAAACAAAAGTCTGCTATCTTTAAAAAATAAAAATATAATAAATAACTTTAAAAAAAAAAAAACCGCCTTTTCCCCTCTGACCCTGAAAAAAGCAAAGCAACAAACACCTTCTTGATTGCTATTACAGCCACTTCGATTTTAGGGGTAGGAAGTTGAGGTTAGAAAGGTAAACGTTTTTAGCCAGGTTCCCTCGAGCTAAGGGACAGGTGCTTCCTTCACTCGAAGCTCGGCCGGCGCCCAGACGCCCTGCCGCAGCGT